CTGGGGAGCAGAGCCGGGAAACTGCCTCAAAGTGCATGAAGCTGGCAGTGCAAGTAAATGCACACAAGTGCATGCAGACAGTGAGGAAGGGCCGTTTGTCTGGCCGCTCTTTCTGCCCTGACATGGTGAGGGCGACTGTCCCACTCCCTCCCTGCCGGGAGCCGACCTACTCTGCCTGCCTGACGGCACAGCCCAGGAGGCCGTGGATGGATGGGTGCCGCACACGGGCCTCCAACGGGAGGGCTACTGACATCTGTTCTGTTGCTCAATCTGACTATTCCCCTAGACTCACACAGCCCCCATGAATCAGAGAAATCCCCAGAGAAAAGACTGTCCGCAGTCGTAGAGCAATCACAAAACTCAGCCTGTGCCCCTGCACGTTCCCCCAGGCCGGTGGGCTATTGTCCCTGGGCTGGGAAACAGAAGAAGGTTCAGGAGACATCAGGGCACAGCTCCCTGGCCAGCCGGGCCCAGCGTGGCCCCCAGGAGGACCAAGAGGTGCCCACCATGGGTGTGCGTCAGGAGAGCAGGTGGCAGAGTCTTGGTGGAGCTCCCTTAGGACCATGACTGCAGAGGGCACGGGAAGCACTGTCACCGTCCGCAGAGTGAGCGCTGCCCCTTCCACTGGGAGTGGATTCAGGGGGCTGTGGAGACAACACGCCCCACAGTGAGCTGGAGGGGGAGTCCAGGCCAGCGAGTTCTGAGACCCATTCAGAAAACAGTGTGGCCCTTGGAGAAATTTAACCTGAGATTAGAATCCAAAGGCATGAGAGCCACAGAAAAATCTTGAAGAAGAAAACATGATGACCTTCCCTGGTTGGGAGAGCAGGGGGACAATCCGAGGAGCAGGTTATGCCATAAGCCCCCGAGTGACGCGTGCCTGATGACGGTGCTGTGACTATGTCATGTGACCAGTCCCCATGATGTCATGTGACCAGTCCCCCATGCCCGGCCTGGGGGCTCTGTCAGTGAACAGGCTCAGCCTCTGCCAGTGTCTGTGCCCTCACTCCCTCAGCCAGTCGCCAACGCCGTCCCTCCTTCAGGGACTCCCGGACCCGCTGGGGCTGGACTCCCGCACCGCCACCCCCACCAAGGACAACGGCCGCCCCAGCACTGACCCCGACTACTGGCTGGGCATCGAGCTTGGCCCGTTTCCTCTGACTCTGGGGAGACCTGAGCAGGAAGGCCGCAGTCGCCCCTCACCTCTGCTTCCTCCCAGATCCCCCGCGTGGGATTCCCATTCACAGTACCACCCTTACACTTTCCAGACAGCTTGTCAGCGTAAAGGGGTGATGGGGCAGCATGTTCTCTGAGACTCGGCTGAGTGTCTGTGTCCCTGCAGTGAGGACACGGATGGCCTGCCCTTGTGGGGACACAGCCCTTGGGATGTGAACCCAGGAGCCCCTGCTTCCATCACTGAGTCCCCCTCCCGCTGGTGGTACCAGGAGCAGCCAATCTGTGCCAGGCACAGAGGACAGGTTCCAAGCAAAAGGAGATGCCCCGGGCCCGGGGGAGGCCTTGCTCTGGATACGGAGATGTGCAGGAGGGTGCAGTCCCCGCTGCCCTTCCTTCCTGCTTCAGCCTTTGGTGCGCTGACCATGGCAGCCACGGCCCCGTCACGGAGGAACGGCGGAGATGCGCACGGGGTCGGCAGCACAGCACCTCATGCTCCGCGGCTGAGCAGGCTCCCTTCCAGGCTCCAGGTTCCGGGAGAAGGCAGACATCAGCCCGGCTACCCGCTGTTGTCAGGCCTCTGTGGCCTGTATGACTGTCCTCATAGTCAATCCCTTCCCTCGGGAACGTGGGGGATTCAGGGGGTTTCTCAGGATGTGGTTGCCTCCCCAACCCTCTTCCTGCCACGGGGAGTGGGGCAGACATGGCAGGAGGCACTGGAGCCCCGCGTTTCCTTTGACTGTCGTGCCCCCACCCACCACCCATGTTTCTCTTCTTTGCCTCCCCTTTTTCTCTGTTGTTTCCTCAGTTTGCGTGTGTCCCCAGATGCTAGCGGAGGGAAGTCCTGTTTCTGTCTGTGGCCTCTCTGTCTCCTCGGGTGACGGCTCATGACGGCAGCCACATTTGCTCTCGTGTTGCTTCTGGCCTGAGAAATAAAACAACAAGACTTTCCCCTGGCATTCGTGCCAGTAAGGACCTTCCTTCTGGAGTGGAGTAGCCAGGAGCACATCCCCAGTGGCAGAGGCCAGCAGGAGTGAGTGCAGACATACACTCCCCCGAGAACACAAGAAACACGCTTGTTACCTGCTAAGGCACTGTTCTGCACCAAGGTGCCAGGTCCTAGGGAAGCAGCCCAGGTGGGATCAGCTCACTGAGCCCGGAGCACCAGGGCCTGGAGGCCGTAGAGACCACTGAGTCCTCCAGCAGCTCCCTGCACCCCAACAAGGCCTGCCCATCACTGCGTCGGCCACCCAAGCAGAGGTCAGGCCTCATCTCTGAATTCTCCAGCGGCTCAGTGAGCAGAACACATGTCGTTTCATTCTACCTTCCATCATCACTGACCCGACGGCCTTTCCCTTTAGACATCAGGGCCCCTGTGCCAGCTAGAGAGCCACGTCTAGCTCACAGGCTAGTTTCACAAGTAACCAACCACAAGTGTGCCCTCATTAACAAGAGACCAGGGAACTCTCTCCACCTGCCTTCAGCGGTTCAGCCCTCCGCTCAACTCCAAGTGCTGCTCAGGGCAGCCAGGCCAGGAGAAGCCTTCCCAGGTGCCTGTCCTGGAGTGGGTGGGGCCCCACCACAACACTGGGGCTGTGGGCTAAACACGGGCAGCGGGCCCAGCTCTAGCCAGCCCATCCCACCAATACAGATGCCATGCCTGGCGCTTGCCAGGATGCACTCCTGGGATGTCCCCATCTTTCCCCAGCAGTGGCAGGAGCTGTCTGCCTTGGGGCACCTCGGGGGGACACCACATTGACCTCATCACCGAGGCAAGCCTCTCCCAAATGGCACATCCCTGACCCTGCCCTTATTTGTAAAAGAAGAAGGAAACCACAAGGACACCCTTAAAACAGAAGACCAAGCAGCACAAACTTGGCCCAGACCCAGAAGCGGCTGCAGGACTGGGTCTCCTGGGCTCCGTGGCCGCCCCACCACCTGCCAGCTTCAGGGTTTTGGCTGAGCCGGGAACCACAGTGCTACCTGGGAGCACAGTGATTGACAGCTCTACAAAAACCCCGCAGCACTCCATGGGCAGCTGGGCACCTGCCCCACTCCCCATGCAGACCAGGGGGAGGGGGTGACGCTGGAAGGGGGGCGTCCAGGCGCACCGAGGAGGGGCAGCACTCAGGTGGAGGCCCATTGCGGAGGCCCTGGGCTGGGGTGGTGTGCACAGGGCCCTGGGGTGCTGGGGGCAGCCCGTTGGGGGGCGGGGAGTGACGCTGAGCCATGGAGTAGCTAGGTATCAGAAGGTGACTTTGTGGTTCCCAGACCCAGAGCTGACAGCAGGAGGGAGCAGACAGCTGACTTCCTGGCCTCAGGGCTCCCTGGGGGCCCTGGCTGCAGGGTTTCTGTGGCCACAGCAGGTGCCAGCTCAGCATGCCCATGCTTTCTTCAAGCACTAGGGCCAGGGCACCCTGGTTGCTGCCTCCTCAGAAGCCTGTGGACCCACCTGACCTCGGTACACAGGGGTCTTTGTGGCCATGGGCAGGGACATCAGCTGTATCTGCTGCATGCTATAGGGTTGGGATAGGTGCATCTGCTGCACACCGTGGGGTGTTGAGGCTGGCTGTGTCTGCTGCACCCTGTGGGGTCGCGGGGCAGCTGTGTCTGCTGCACACCATGGGGTGGTGAGGCTGGCTGTGTCTGCTGCACCCTGTGGGGTGGGGAGCCCAGCTGTGTCTGCTGCGCACTCTGGCACTAAGTATTTTCATGGTGGGGAGCACAGACTGTGTCCCTGTGCTATGCTGTTCATTATTTCTGGGTATAGGGAATCCGGGTCACCGTCACCCAAGTTAAGAGGCTTTCTCTCTGTCCCTCTGTCCAGGGCTGGGAAGCGAATGCCCAGAGGTTGCGGGGTCTGTATGGGGTGGGGTTCCTGCTGAGGCCATTCGGCCTGCGTTCTGCTGATGGCCTTTCTGGGGAGAGGGCTCATGCCTGTGGATAGCAGGCTGGGCAGAGTGGGTTCTGAGTCGGGGTCATGGTTGCCTGAGGGTTCGGTGCTGTCTGCTGTGCCAGGCGGGGTTCTGGATTTTTGTACACCCCCTAAGTGGGCCCATGGCAATATGACTACTATGACTACAGAGGCCACGGAACCCAGGTCACCGTCTTCTCAGGTGAGTCATCCCAGCCCTCCTCTCCGCTCTCTCCCTGAGGCTTTTTGGTGCATTTTAGTGAAAAGTAGGGTGTCTAGGTCTCAGGTGTGGAAGGACCAGGGACAGCCTGAGGGGCCCAGAAAGGGGCCTAGAAGAGACCATGGCTCACACAGATGGGAAATGGAGGTCTGATACTCCTGGGCTGGGCTGCCGTGGGGCCCTCTGGGGCCTCAGCCACCGTGGGGCCTCCGGGGACCCTCAAACCCCACCAGGAGCCAGTTCTTGCTGGTAGTCCTGGCACGTTTGTCAACCATGGGCTCCATATCTGGGGCTGGTGAGTCCAGGTCAACGTCACCTCAGGTGGGTGCTCGCCTCCCCCTCACCCCAACTGCACTTGGGGAGGTCTGGGGTGTCAGGGCCTCCCTGTCAAGACACTAAGGCATTTTGGAGGTTGGGAATCTGAGCCACGGAGAGGGTCCCCCTGAATGCAGCTGAGAAGGATGTGCCCCATCCCAGGGACGGCTGCAGTGTGGGGACAAGGCAGCTCCTTCGGCGGCTGGCCATCCCTTCCAGCCTTATCAGGACCTCCCCTAACTGCTGGTTTGCGGGCTTCGCCACCTCTGAATCTCTGGGGCAGTGGTCGTCAAGGCAGATGTGACTTCTGAGTCCCAGTTAGGGGCGGTCAGTTTGCTGCCTGGTTTCTGAGGGCGGCTCCATGGGGCTTGGTTTTGGAGGGGTGAGGAAGGAGATTGTGCCACTGTGATTATTGTGGTATGGAGGTGTGGGGACGTGGAACCTGGGTCACAATCAGCTCAGGTAAGAATAGCCCCTACAGCGCCTTTATTTTTTCTCCTGTCTGTGGGACTTTCTGACCTGGTCCTGGGGACGTGTCCCTCAGGGTCCTGCACAGGCTGGTCAGGAGGGGATGCGAATGGGTGCTTAGGGACTCCAGGGCCTCTTGACTGTATGGTGCTTTCTGAGAATTGGAACAATGCCAGCAGGCCGCACGGAGTCACCCATCCCCTGAAAGGACGGGAGGCAGGAAGGGCCGTGGGGGGACAAGGGGCCACAGCACGTTAGCGCTGTGGGGAGACACTTGATGTCAGAGTCACAGCGCTGGCCTGTGGGGTGTGCTGGGTGGCTGTCCCACGCAGGAGCTCAGAGAGAAGGGTTTTCTTCAGGGTTTTGAGTCATGTTCTGTCAGGTTGTATTTAAAATTCCTTACTGGCCAGGAAGATAACTGTCTGGGGGCAGAGGGACAAGCAGTTCTCCCCCAGGCCTGGTGAGAGTGGGGTGCTCCGGCCCCCGGGAGGGCGCACCCGGGCAATCTGTGGGAGCTCTGCTCCCCGGGACAGGGTGGCCCCCCGAGAGGATGACTCGCTCCTCCTGAGAGACGTGCTCCCTGAGCGTTAAAAGACAGGATGCCTTTGGAGCGGCTCCTGAGGAAAATGGTCAAGAAAACTGTAACTTCAAAGGTCCTGTTTTTCAGTATATTTTCAACTGTATTATATATTCTAATCTTATCATTCAATGAACAACCACGAATCCTGCCTTCCTGAAGTTGGTATTGCGCCATTTCAGCCAAGAAATGGTGCCATGGTGCCGCCGTCACCCTCTCGGGGCTCAGGTGTGACAAGGGTGAATCAGGCTTGTTTTCTGATGGGCTGAGATGTTCTGTGGATGCTGTGAGCCAGGCAAGGTGGCGGAGGGCAGGGCAGACACCTGCAGCGGGTGGCAGGCGCAGGCCACCGCGAGAGTCTATTTTAGGGAGCAGGAAACGCGACTGACAAACATAGCTTATGGTTATGAAGAGGGGTTTTCAGGCGGTTTTGCCCAGGGACATGTCTGAAAGCTTCCACTGAGCAAAACAACACCTGGGTAATTTGCATTTCTAAAGAAGCCCAAAGTGCTGCCAGAAACGGAAAGCTTCCTTTTTTAAACACTAGAATTTAAATTTTTCAGTGTTAATTTATAAATTCAAATTTATAAATATTTTCAAAATAAGATGTTTCACAGTAAGATGTTTACGAAATTAATCAATTTATCGATGCTTTCATATAACTTTCATTAATTAGTTATTCCTTCAAATTGTGATTAATCTCAAACCATTTTCGCCGGCCCTGAAGTCTTGTTTTTATAGTGACCATGTTCCCAATTTTTAAGCTAGCCTATCTTCCCTTCGCTACAAAGAAACATGTTGATATTGCAATAAAGGGCCTCCGTTTCAGCATTTTTTGAGACTGCTTTTCAAGTCTTCATCTCAGGACAATTTTTAGGTGAAATGTGTGTGATTTTCCTGAATTACTTCAGTTAAACACATTAGTTGGTGGATTGAGGGGAAACCCAGTCAGAAGTCAAATCGGAGAGGGACTCGGAGCACCTGGGAGGGTGGTTTCTGCTGCGAACCCTGAATCCGGCTTCTTCAGAGGAGGGCCTGGGAGCCGGTCCCACCAGGCCCGCCGTGCCCGGGGGCCTCCTGGTCCTCCCTCCAGCTGGGCATGTGTAGCCGTGGCCTCTGCCACCAGGCCAGCCAGCTGAGCTTCAATCTGCCGTTTTTCATGGATTTGGAGGAATTCTTCCACGCCAAAACCCCACGGGACTTTCCAGTGACCGGGCACCCCAAATGGTAAGAGAGAAACGGCCGAATTCGCTGCTCCGGAAAGGTCGATGGGATGCTTTGTTTCTGCTTGAACGGGAGTCGGACTCTGAGGCCCGCTCAGTGGAGGCTGGGACTCACTTGTGCGAAGCCCTTGAGCAGCTTTGGTCTGGGTCCCTCGCGTGTGACTTCCCCTGAAGGTCATTCCGAGGAAGGTGGCGGTGCCGCGCTCTGGTTCTTTAGCTAGTGGTTGCTCCTGACGCTTTAGAGCAAAGCGCCCTTGTCTTCACGTGGGCGCTAAACACAGCTTTCGATTTTAGATCATTGCTGCGCACCTCCAAGTAGGCTCCACTTGCAAAGAGATTTGCGACACCAGGACTGCATGGCAAATTCAGATGAAACCCATTTCCTGGTCATTTTAATGATGACTTTTATCTAGAGGGAATTCGGTTAAAGTCAGGGGCTTACGTTGGGCTCAGGAGGGACATTTGTGGCTGAGGGTATATGCCAGGAAAGTGAGGGCTCTGTGGAGAGAGCTGCCAGTTGTAAAGCAGAGACAGGCTTTTTGCTCTGATGGTAGCAAACCCCCACACAGTCCTTGCAGATGTCTTAAGGAATTTAAGTTGCCAGGAAGTATTTTACCCAATAAGCTGAAGGATGTCTGTGATCGATACTTCCTGGGAGCCAGAGGCCAGTGGGACTGGTCAGGGACTGTGGATCTGAGCTTCCACTGGAGAAAGTCCAAGGGGCGCGGGAGGGTGGAGACGGCAGGGATACCCTAGCCTGAGCCCAGCCCTGCTTTAAGAATCCCTTAATGAGGCAGGTGGTCTGGTGCTCTGGCACCTTTCTGGCCAGTACCACTGGGCCTCCAGGACAGTACAGAACTGCACTGCGCTGGACTAAATCACATGAGACTGAGTTTTCTGAGCTGAGCCAGGCCAGGCAGAACTGAACTGAGCTGCACTGAGCTGAGCTTGGTGAGCTGGGCTACACTGGGTTCCACTGATCTGGGCTGCGCTGAGCTGAGCTGGGCTGACCTGAGATGGGCCGGCCTGGCTGAGCTCGGCTAAACTGGGCTGAGCTGGACTGGGTGAGCTGTGCTGAGCTTGGCTAAGCTGGGCCAGGCTGGGCTGGGCTAAACTGGGCTGACCAAGGCTGAGCTGGGCTCGGTGAGCTACTGAAGTGGGCTGGACTGGGTGGGCTAAGTAGGCCTAACCTGGGTGGGCTCGGGACAGGCCAAGCCGAGTGTGCGCCGGCTCACTTATCACATATACACCCTCCCCAGAACCCAGACATGCAGGCTGAGTGCCAGTGTAGCCAGCTGGCAAGGCTCCCTGCATGGCCACCTGCCTCTCAAGGGGCTCGCTGTGCTCGGGGCTGCATGTCAGGGTGACTCCAGGGCATCCGCGGGAAGGAAGAGCGGTCCTGGGCTGGGCCGTCCTGACGGCCTCTGCGTGCAGGGACAGTGCCAGGGTGAGAGGCCAGCTCTACCCTCCTAACAGGAAGCAAGAACCCCTTGTCTTCTCATGCAGCAGAGCTGGGCCCCCACACATCCCCAGCACCTCTGTACCAGAACACCGGACCTGCAGCACCCGCAAAGCTGCCCCCCAGTGTGGATGTCTTCCTCCCGCCCCGGGACGCCTTCTCCAGCAATAGCCAGCGCACGTCCAGGCTCATCTGCCAGGCCACAGGCTTCAGCCCCAGGCACATCTCCGTGTCCTGGCTGCAAGACGGGAAGCGGCTGGAGTCTGGCATCACCACGGACAACGTGGAAGCCGAGACTAAGGGGTCGGGGCCCGTGACCTTCAAGGTCACCAGCACACTGACCATCACCGAGACTGCCTGGCTCAGTCAGAGCACATTCACCTGCCACGTGGAACACAGTGGGCTCACCTTCCAGAAGAACGCGTCCTCCTTGTGCGGCAGCGGTGAGTGGCCCCTGGTATGGCCCCCCATGCAGGGCCCCTCACACACCGGGGGTCCACTTGGGTTTGTGGGCACTGCCCAGACATGGCCCGCTGTGCCCCATCCTTGCCTCTGCACAGCGGGAAAGGGTGGGACAGGGCAGCTTGGGGCCACCTGTCAGCTGAGGAGCCAGTATCCCCCCCGGGGGGACCGTGGGACCAGGACAGCTCAGCAAAGGGGACCCTCCCTGTCTGGGGAAACCCCCACCTTCACCTCATTTCCCAACCAGCCCTCAAACCTGCTCTGCCCCGACTCCAGGTCCAAACACTGCCATCCAGGTCTTCGCCATTCCCCCTTCCTTCGCCAGCATCTTCCTCACCAAGTCGGCCAAGCTGTCCTGCCTGGTCACAAACCTGGCCACCTATGGCAGTCTGGCCATCTCCTGGACCGGCCAGGATGGCAAGCCCATGAAAACCAATACCAACATTTCCAAGAGCCACCCCAACACCACCTTCAGCGCCACGGGCGAGGCCACCATCTGCGTGGAGGATTGGGAGTCGGGCCACGAATTCTCGTGCACAGTGACGCACACGGACCTGCCTTCGCCGCGGAAGCAGACCGTCTCCAGGCCCAAGGGTAGGCCCTGCCTGCCCCTTCCCTCTGCCCCAGACTCCCCCGCGGCCTCCGGGCTCCTGGCTGCGGGCCGGGGGGGCAGCCTGAGCTCACGGCCCTCTGTGCCCCGCAGAGGTCGCCAAGCACACGCCCTCCGTCTACGTGCTCCCGCCCACCCAGGAGCAGCTGAAACTGCGGGAGTCGGCCTCCGTCACCTGCCTGGTGACGGGCTTCTCCCCACCGGACGTGTTTGTGCAGTGGCTGCAGAAAGGGCAGCCCGTCCCCTCCCACAAGTATGTGACCAGCGCCCCGACCCCCGAGCCCCAGGCCCCGGGCCTCTACTTCGCGCACAGCATCCTGACAGTGAGTGAGGAGGACTGGAGCGCCGGGGAGACCTACACCTGCGTCGTGGGCCACGAGGCGCTGCCCCACACGGTGACCGAGAGGACCGTGGACAAGACCACCGGTAAACCCACCCTGTACAACGTCTCCCTGGTCCTGTCTGACACGGCCAGCACGTGCTACTGACCCCTGGGCTGCCCCGACGGGCTGGCACTGGGGCCTGTGGGTGACCCGGCGCTGCATGCGTGCCTGTGTGCGAACTGAGCATGTCATAGGGTGCCACGCTGCATGCTCTCAAAACAGAAATAAAAAGATGCATTCACAGACGCTGGTCCTGAGTGAGCGATGCTCTCGCCCGCTGGGGCCATGGCCGTGCTGCCCCCACACCACCCTGCACCCCCTGCCGCCCACCCCCACCTCCGCATGCCTGGTGCCCCTACAGAATGCTCACAGCTCATGCTCACTGCTCCTCCAGCTCATGCCATGGCCAAACGGGTGTGTGACACATGCGCACACACACACAAACACACATATGCATACAGAGATGCAGACATGTGTGCACATACACAGATGTGGGCACACAGAGATCCACATACACACAGACACAGACATGGGTGTACAGAGACATACATGCACACATTGACACACAAATGCCCATGCACAAAAACACATGTGCACACAGATATAGAGACATGTGGATACAGACACAGTGCGTGTGGTCACAGACACCTGCAATGGGAATGGGTACAGACATGCGTGCACACGTGTGCAAAGACATGGATGCACATGCATATATGGACACATACAAGCGTACACTTTTACACACATGCACACACATGGACAAGACACTGACCGGTGAACATACAGGCACATGTGCACATGGGCACACGCAAATGTGGATGCCAACCCTGGGAACCCAAAGCCACGCAGTACCATGAAGTGGGTACCTCCACCTTCCTGGCATCACACCCAGCTCAGCCCTGCTGCTCCCTGCACCATGCTCTCCACAGGGCTCCGTGCCTCAGTGCTGCTTGTCCTTTCACGTTGGCTTGGAGGGATATCCGTGGGCTTGCCCTGCACAGACTCTGACCATGGGCAACCTCCCCAGAACTGGGCACAGGGTTCAGAGGCCACACTGAGCCCAGCCGGCTGCAGCACCTCAGAGAGGCCCAGGCCTACATGCAGGGCCCTGAGACTGGCAGGGCCCCCAGCACCCTCCTGCGGTCAGGCAGAGTGAGGGCCTGTCCTGCCTGCATGTCAGTCCAGGAGGCCCTGTTGTGCAGGGGGAGCTGCAGGCAGCCTGACCTGAGCAGGGTCTGTCCCAGAACCCCAGCACTGGAGGTGCGGGACAGGAGACACCCCCACAGGGAGAGAGAGGGCCCAGAGCCCAGTGGGCAGGGAGGGGGACAGGGGCTCCTCTCACAACAGGCCACCTCCTGCCCTTCCCATGCCCCCAAGGGCCCTTCTCTGCAGGGCATGCAGACCCCTCTAAGTGTCCTCGATGTCACCCTCCCTGGGGCCTTAGGGGGCTATCTGACCCTGCAGTCCCAGAGCCATGAGCCTGATGGGCACTGAAGCCAGCCAGGACCCCACCCAGTCCCTCACATGTGCTGCCCACTCTGAGGAGAGAGACTGAGAGTGAGGCCAGGTGACATGTGGAGAGGGGAGCCCCAGGGGCCTAGACATCTGCCTGCACCCCCTGTCCACCCACACTGGCCACATTGGCAGGGGGCCTGCCCAACCCATAGCCCAGGTGACAGGAGGTCACCTGCCCCTCAGTCCCCAACGGTGCCTCCTACAGAAACCCAGGAGACCCTCACAGGGGGTTCCACCTGCCCCATGGCTGTGCTGCTTTGTCACCCTCTCTGCCACAGCAGGACTCCGAGGACAAGGTGCTCAGCCTTGGCCATGACCTGCCCCTGCCCAGATGGTCAGGGACTGGGGATCCGAGCTTCCACTGGAGAAAGTCCAGTGGGCGCAGGAGGGTGGAGACAGCAGGAATCCCCCAGTCTGAGCCCAGCCCTGCTTTAAGGATCCCTGGGTGAGAGGACTAATGAAGCAGGTGGGTCTGGTGCTCTGGCACCTTTCTGGCCAGTACCACTGGGCCTTCAGGACAGTACAGAGCTGCACTGCACTGGACTAAATCACATGAGACTGAGTTTTCTGAGCTGACCCAGGCTGAGCCGGGCCAGGCAGAACTGAGCTGAGCTACACTGGGCTGCTCTGGGTTGCACTGAGCTGGCCAGCGCTGGGCTGAGTTGGGCTGAGCTGGGCAGAGCTGGGCTGAGATGAGCTGGGCTGAGCTGGGCTGGGTGAGCTGGGATAGGTGAGCCAGGCTGAGCTGAGCTGGACTGTGGTGGGCTGGGCTGAGCTGGACAGAACCACGCTGAACTGAACTGAGATGGGTTGAGCTGGGGAGGGTAAGCCGGGTTGAGCTGGGCTGAGAAGAGCTGAGCTGAGCTGGGCTGTGCTGGGCAGAGCTGGGCTGAGCCAGGCTAGGCTGGGCTGAGCTGGGCTAGGTGAGATGGGCTAAATTGAACTGGGATGGGTTGCACTGAGCTGAGCTACACTGGGCTGCTTTGGGTTGCGCTGAGCTGGCCACCGCTAGGGTGAGTTGGGCTCAGCTGGGCTGAGATGAGCTGGGCTGAGCTGAGTTGAACTGTGCTGGGCTGTGCTGAGCTGAGCTGCACTCGGCTGAGCTGGGCTAAGCTGGGCAGGGTGAGCCACGCTGAGCAGGGCTGAGCTGAGCTGGGCTGAGCTGGGCTACGCTGGTCTGAGCTAGGCTGAGCTGGGCAGGGTGAGGTGTTCTGGGCTGAGCCAGGCTGAGCTGTACTGAGCAGAGCTTCACTAGACTGAGCTGGGCTGAGCTGGGCTGAGCTGGGCAGAGTGAGCCACGCTGAGCAGGGCTGAGCTGATCTGGGTTGAGCTGGGCTGAGCTGAGCTGGACAGAGCTGGGCTCTTTTGGGCTGAGCCAGGCTGAGCTGGGCTAGGTGATCTGGGCTAAGTTGAACTGAGCTGGGCGGGATGAGCTGGGCTGAGCTGAGCTGGGTTGAGCTGGGGAGGGTGAGCCGGATTGACCTGGGCATGGCTTAGTTGAACTGAGCTGGGCTGAGCTGAGCAGGACAGAGCTGAGCAGAGCTTAGCTGGGCTGCACTGGGCACACCTGGATGAACTGGGTTGGGTGAGCTGAGCAGGGCTTAGCCAGGCAGAGCTGGGCGGGATGAGCAGGGCTGGGCTGGGTGAGCTGGGCTGAGCTGGGCTGAACTGGGCTGGGCTGAGCTGGGCTAAGCTTGGCTAAGCTGGGCCGGGCTGGGCTGGGCTGAACTGAGCAGGATGGAGCTGAGCAGGGCTTACCCAGGCTGAGCTGGGCGGGATGAGCTGGGCTGAGCTGCACTGGGTTGAGCTGGGGAGGGTGAGCCGGGTGGACCTGGGCATGGCTGAGTTGAACTGAACTGAGCTGAGCTGAGCAGGACAGAGCTGAGCAGAGCTTAGCTGGGCTGCACTGGGCAGACCTGGATGAACTGGGTTGGGTGAGCTGAGCAGGGCTTAGCCAGGCAGAGCTGGGCGGGATGAGCAGGGCTGGGCTGGGTGAGCTGGGCTGGGTGAGCTGGGCTAAACTGGGCTGACCAAGGCTGAGCTGAGCTCAGTGAGCTTGCGTACAGTGCACTGACCTGCGCTGACCCAGGCAGAGCAAAGCTACTGAAATGGGCTGGACTGGGTGGCTAAGTAGGCCTAACCTGGGTGGGCTCGGGACAGGCCAAGCCGAGTGTGCGCCGGCTCACTTATCACATATACACCCTCCCCAGACCCCAGACATGCAGGCTGAGCGCCAGTGTGGCCAGCTGGCAAGGCTCCCTGCATGGCCACCTGCCTCTCAAGGGGCTCACTGTGCTCGGGGCTGCATGTCAGGGTGACTCCAGGGCGTCCGCGGGAAGGCAGAGCGGGCCTGGGCGGGGCCGTCCTGAACGGCCTCTGTGCGCAGGGACAGTGCCAGGGTGAGAGGCCAGCTCTACCCTCCTAACAGGAAGCAAGAACCCCTTGTCTTCCCATGCAACAGAGCTGGGCCCCCACACACCCCCAGCACTGCTGTACCAGGACCCCGAGCCTTACTGCACCACCCTCCGTGCTGTCAGTCACGTCCAGGCAGTCGGTGGTGGGCTCAGCCCCAAGGGCAGTCACAGAGCACCAGGGGCAGACAGCGGGGCCCATCCCCAGCTAGGGCGCTCCTCCTCACCACCCCCGTACTGTCTGTCCCCTCTTGTGTCCTCAGAGAGCTCGTCCCCTCCAAATCTCTACCCCCTGGTGTCCTGTGAGAGCCCCCTGTCCGATGAGAGCCTGGTGGCCATGGGCTGCCTGGCCCAGGACTTCCTGCCCGGCTCCATCACCTTCTCCTGGAACTACAAGAACAGCAGTGACGTGAGCACCAGGGACATCAAGACCTTCCCCTCGGTCCTGCGGGGGGGCAAGTACGTGGCCACCTCCCAGGTGCTCCTGGCCTCCGTGGACGTGCTCCAGGGCTCCGATGACTTCCTCACGTGCCGAGTCCAGCACGCCAACGGCAACAAGGTCGTGAAAGTGCCCCTGTCAGGTGAGCGCTGCCCCACTGTGGGCTGGGTAAGGGTGGGCTGGGCCCGGCTGACCCCCTGTGCCCTCGCTGCAGCGCCCGCAGAGCTGCCCCCCAGTGTGGACGTCTTCATCCCGCCCCGGGACGCCTTCTCCAGCAACAGCCAGCGCACGTCCAGGCTCATCTGCCAGGCCACAGGCTTCAGCCCCAGGCACATCTCCGTGTCCTGGCTGCAAGACGGGAAGCGGCTGGAGTCTGGCGCCACCACGGACAACGTGGAAGCCGAGACTAAGGGGTCAGGGCCCGTGACCTTCAAGGTCACCAGCACGCTGACCATCACCGAGACTGCCTGGCTCAGTCAGAGCACATTCACCTGCCGCGTGGAGCACAGTGGGCTCACCTTCCAGAAGAACGTGTCCTCCTTGTGCGGCAGCGGTGAGTGGCCCCTGGTATGGCCCCCCACGCAGGGCCCCTCACACACCTGGGGTCCACTCGGGTTTGGGGGCACTGCCCAGACATGGCCAGCTGTGCCCCATCTCTGGCTTCACAGAGCAGCCAAAGGCGGGACAGGGTGGCCTGGGACCACGTGTCAGATGAGGAGCCAGCATTCCCCCCGGAGGGACCCTGGGACCGGGACGGCTCAGCGAAGGGGGGCCTCCCTGTCTGGGGAAACCCCCACCTTCGCCTCATTTCCCAACCAGCCCTCAAACCTGCTCTGCCCCGACTCCAGGTCCAAACACTGGCATCCAGGTCTTCGCCATTC